GATAGTGATGGTTATAGTAACCATGGTTACATGGTACACAGATAGTGATGGTTACAGTCACCATGGTTACATGGTTCACACAGATAGTGATGGTTACAGTCACCATGGTTACATGGCTCACACAGATAATGATGGTTACAGTCACCATGGTTACATGGTTCACACAGATAGTGATGGTTATAGTCACCATGGTTACATGGTTCACACAGATAATGGTTATAGTCACCATGGTTACATGGTTCACACAGATAGTGATGATTATAGTAACCATGGTTACATGGTTCACACAGATAGTGATGATTATAGTAACCATGGTTACATGGTTCACACATATAGTGATGGTTACAGTAACCGTGGTTACATGGTTCACACAGATAGTGATGGTTACAGTCACCGTGGTTACATGGTTCACACAGATAATGATGATTACAGTCACCGTGGTTACATGGTTCACACAGATAGTGATGGTTATAGTCACCATGGTTACATGGTACACAGATAGTGATGGTTACGGTCACCATGGTTACAGGGTTCACACAGATAGTGATGGTTATAGTCACCATGGTTACATGGTTCACACAGATAGTGATGGTTACAGTCACCATGGTTACATGGTTCACACAGATAGTGATGGTTACAGTCACCATGGTTACATGGTACACAGATAGTGATGGTTATAGTAACCATGGTTACATGGTACACAGATAGTGATGGTTACAGTCACCATGGTTACTTGGTTCACACAGATAGTGATGGTTACAGTCACCATGGTTACATGGTACACAGATAGTGATGGTTATAGTAACCATGGTTACATGGTACACAGATAGTGATGGTTACAGTCACCATGGTTACTTGGTTCACACAGATAGTGATGGTTACAGTCACCATGGTTACATGGTACACAGATAGTGATGGTTATAGTAACCATGGTTACATGGTACACAGATAGTGATGGTTACAGTCACCATGGTTACTTGGTTCACACAGATAGTGATGGTTACAGTCACCATGGTTACATGGTACACAGATAGTGATGGTTATAGTAACCATGGTTACATGGTACACAGATAGTGATGGTTACAGTCACCATGGTTACATGGTTCACACAGGTAGGGGATACTCAGGGGATGGTTTATAAACCCGCCCACTCACATAACAGCCAACCACAGATGTTGGCAAGTCATTGGCCGATTACTCAGCCAGAAGCCACGCCCACTCAGAGACGCGTTCAGCGTACTCAGCCACGCCCAAATCAGCCTGCTGCTCCTTGGGGGCTGATTGTTGACACGCCCAGTCACATGATCAAGTGCCCAGACTGGCGGAACACGGTCAGTCATGTGACCGGAAGGGGGAGGGAAGATTTATCAAACTGCCAACTCCAGGCCTAATAGAGAGAGACTGCCACAGACAGCCATGGCCTGCCAGAGAGAGAGAGAGAGACTGCCACAGACAGCCATAGACAGCCATGGCCTGCCAGAGAGAGAGAGAGAGAGAGACTGCCACAGACAGCCATGGCCTGCCAGAGAGAGCGAGAGAGACTGCCACAGGCAGCCATGGCCTGCCAGAGAGAGAGAGAGAGACACAGACAGACAGCCATGGCCTGCCAGAGAGAGCGAGAGAGACTGCCACAGACAGCCATGGCCTGCCAGAGAGAGAGA